TATTAAATTTCTCCATGCGTGTATCGTCGAGAAAAGAATGTCCTTCCCTTCAACGATTATTTCAACGGAATGAATAACTTCAGCCACCAATTCATTTTTCTCGAGTTTGTCAGAACGGGGCATGTAGCTTGTTAGCAAAATCTTTGGGTAAATCCCTGCTGCATTTTGCTTGTCGCTATCACACCTCGGAATTGCAGCTCAGGGCTGTAGTGAAGACATACTTGAAGGGCACGAGTGGTCCCAATGTACCGATGTTCGAGAGATTGAAGAAACAGTGGGATGAAATCGATAAAAATGAATATCAAACTGGGATGGATGATGAGCTGATAGTTGGAATCTTGGCCGAGAGAAAAGATGAACTCTTGGCTTTCATTGCCGAGCAGTTTGAGGTGAGTATAACATTGCAGAAGCATGTTCATTACCTTCAACAATTCTATAAGAAATTTTTTTTTGATTCGTCCAGATCACTCAACCTAGGAATGATTATCGAGAATTCCTGGAACTGGCATGTATTTTCTTGGGTGGATCACCTCCCAGAGGTATCAAGTTTAAGAAACCAGGAGCAAACCACCACGCTCGATGGCTTTCGAAAGCCATTTACTGCCTTAAGATCTTCATGTTCAAAGATCAGTTCTTCAAAAATTCTCGAAGTTCTCGAGAAGTCACAGGTTTACGTCACATTTGCATTTTCGTCGTCTTGTTTTATGTGGAACTATGGTTCACTGCTCCCTGTGCTACTATGGCTCCTCAAACCGATCTGTCCTTGATGCAGAAATTGATTAAATTTCAAGATATCAATCTTGATGTATCAAAAGCAGCTTTGAGTAAATTGAAACCATATCTGTGGTATCTGAATGAGGAACTTGCTGCTCTTGCATTTTTCGATCCCAGAGTTTCAGATGAAATTAAAGAGCGAATGGTAGATGCGATTAAACATCGAGAAAGCACCGTCGAGCAGCCAAAACACATTAAATTGAGTGAAGAAGAATTACACTCATTATCTGTTATGGATATCAGTCACTTCATCAATAAGAACTCGATGCATTTATTCGAGATTTTCGAATTACCTTCTGATTTTCTCAATGAAAGTCCTGTCCTTTGGAAATACAATCAGAGCTACATCAAGTGTTCGGAAACATTTCACCACATAAAAGTTGTCAATGACGTTGCTGAACGTGGAGTAGTACTCCTTGAAGGATATACAGGTTTGATTATGAGAAATGAAGAACAATACCAATACCTCCTACAAGTGGTGAAGGCTCACAGGAAACGATACCCAAACTGCAATAAACAAAATTTCACAGACTCTTCCAAAAATGATGCGAGTCTTTTTGATAGTTGAAGGTGTTGATATAAGTTGGAATATCCGGTGGAACATATTTAGATGGGAGATACGTTGAAAAAAATGTGTGATGGAACTGTAATAGTCCAAAAAGATGAATAAAAAACCAATTTTCTGATTATTTTGCGAATATCTCCGAAACGAAGAAGTTTGGGGTAATTTCTTGAAAAACATTGTTTGGTGAATGACTAGATTTAGGGTGGATGTGGGATGAAAATGTGGAGGGAGATGTTGGGAAAATTACTGATGAGCCGGATTTAAAATATCACACTTTATTTTGTGGGATCGAACCACTTTGTCAAAACTTATGTCCCTTCTTTGGTAATTTAATTGTTGAATGTCTAATTATCCTGTAATTGTCTTTCACTGTTAATTAGTTGAGTCACTGAATTTAGACTGAATTTGATCAACAGAGGTGATGTACTGAACAAAACGGTGATCTTACAAAGACCGGTGATGTACTTGATTACTAGTGAGCTAGGTGAGGTTCAAGAAGCTACTGTACTCGGTGAGGTGCGATATAAAACTTGTACAGGTGATTTGCCCGAGATAGACTTGTACGGTGAGAGGCTAAGCCTAAACTGATTCGCGCGTGTTTCGGTGACTTATGACTGATGACCCGAAGGGTCCCGGAGATTTTCGAAGTAGGCCGATGGTCGACCAGAATGTTCTGGAATTTTAGTTGCGTTTCAAACAAACATTTTTTTAAGGAAATTTCATGGGCTACAAAAAAGGTTTCTTTATATTTTACGCTAAACTCATTAGTTTAAGAGATATTTGCTATAGAAATGGTAATTATCACAATTTTTATATTTCACATATCAAAACCCCAATTATGGGGAAGAAATGTAGAATCCTTTAGACTCGATGCGCAACCTCTTAGAATTATGCGACAGAGCCCAGACTTCGGCAGAATAATCGTTAGGTCAAATACTCATGTTACAGACTGTTTCCGAGAAAATTAAAAATCAATTCTTCTTTTTGACTAGATTTAGTAGCCATATATTCCGCCCCAGTAGTTCCTCTGACTTTGATAAACTAAACAAACTTCAATATAAAGTTCTTCGCCTAACTCTTAGTTTTCGTAACTCAACCCCCACCAATATAATTCTGGCTGAAGACTGTGAACCCCCACTAAACCTCGCATATCCCAACTTGCAAGTAGATACATTATTAAAATGTTCTGCCTCTCGGAACATATTCTTATCGATAAATTATATTCTCTCCATCTTATTCTTCAAAAAAAGGCAACAATCCTCACCGCATCAAGACTAACTTTCCAATTTACTGTTCCTTTAAAGACCTACAAATTTACAGATCCAAAATTTACTCCAATCTCCTACCCACTCCTTATGATTACTCATTCGATCTCATTAATCATAATCCCACTATTAATTTAGCCATGGGTATGGCTGTCAAGACAAGCAGCTCTCCAGAAGAGGAATTCCAAAAACAAATAAAAGAGAATTACCTCCAAGATCATATCCAAGCCATATTCATTCGTTCTTCCCAATTTGAAATACTCCTCAAAATTTCATCATTTACCTCTATTTTCACTGCTAACGCATTGGCAATCTTGACCGCCCTTCGCTCCATTCCTCAATTTCACCCTAACAAATTCGTCATCCTCTCAGATTCTCTAAGTGTCTTATCATCATTATCCAACTTCTCTCCCAAAAACACCAATTCTGCCTTATTTTCGAAATCTTAAGTCAATGGACTAAACTTAAATCTCACGGCACCGAGGTGGTATTTTCTTGGATCCCCTCCCACAAAGACATCCTTGGTAATGAAGAGGTCGATTCACGGGCCAGAGCGGCGATCTCGTCCGGTCTCCTTCAGGACACTTCACTTCCTCCTTCCGATTTTAACGAATCCATAAATACCAAAATGAAAATCTCCACAAACAGAACCCTCACTAAACGCGGAAAACTTGTAGGCCACTACTACTTCAGACTTTTTTTTACAAGGGTTAGTGCCGTCCTTGATACCAAAATTTAAAAATTGACCGTCCCCAAATTACCACAATTTGTCGAATAAGATCCAACCAGTTCAACCTTAACGAAAGTTTAGCCAGGAAAAATATTATTGCCTCTCCCCTATGTAATTGCAAACAAACACAAACCCTCACGCATTTCTTTTGGCTTTGTTCGGAGCTGAAAAAGGAGCGCGAGATCCTTATCAAGGCCCTTGACAAATTAGACATCACTGAATACAGCATCAATAAACTAATCACCTCCCTCGATGCGAAAGTTTCATTCGTTCTACACAATTTCATCAAACGAACGGGTGTTAAAATCTAACTTTTGCCGGATTGCCTCTCATCCGCTTGTCTTCCTCCTGTATTCATTAAACAAACCTTCCCGCCGAATTCATAAAGCCTCTCTACCTATCACCTTATCTAATTATCTACCTTACCAACCGACCTATTTCCTAACTCCTGAAACGTACCCTAGAGGGATAACGGCCGAATAGCCAATGCATCTGGAGCCTTAAGGGGTAACGGAACCGACCACAAAAAGACGTTTACCAAAAACAAGTTTTCTTGGATTCTATGTAATGAGAATCAATGAAACTTTTTCCCCGTATTGAGAGAAGCGGAACGCATCGCTCTCTTCTCATGCTTTTCTTATTTATGCAAAAACATTGCAAATTATTTAACGGCAAAGACCAGGGCAACGCCGACGCCATTTTATTTGTAGGAATCTGCCAAGTTATGGCAGACAAACCGATTTTTTGTAGATTTTTCTTAGCCGATGGCTATTTTCATGGGAAGAGAGCGATCGAGTGAGGTCCAAGACAGAGATTTTGAGTACCAAAACGTACTTTTGTTGCGTAATTTTCATAAAAACTTGTTTATGATGATTGGGTGGTATCCAGGTGGTAACATGTCCTTTACAGGGCATCAATTGTATCAGAAGATGATGTAGAATGTTTCCATACCATTATTATTTATTTATATCCATTTATTTATATTTTATGAGCTTTTGTACTTTTCACGTACAAAATCCAAAAAACCACGGGAACCTGGAATACCGATAGGGGGGGACCCCTAACCTCTACGTGCGACAGGTTCCGTTACCCCTTAAGAAAGAAGAAGAAGAAGGGTAAAGAGTAAGAAGAGTGAGTGGCTTGTAAACAGGGATGACCAATAATATTAGATTTTGACAATATTAAGAAGGATTATCTGCTTATATTATTCACAGCTTAACTATATTTAACAAATGTAAAATATTATAAAATTTAATAACTAATTTTCTGATTGATGGTGAATAAAATATTTGATAATATTGAAATGTCATTTTTAGTTAACAAACTAATTCTAAATTTAGGTACTTGATTTTTCGATTATCCAAATAATCGTCAATCTTTCTACCTAAATTATTGGTTAATTTAATATTCAAAATTGTTTAGATTTATGTTAAAAATTGACAACTTTACAATTTAACGGTACTTATGATTGATGAATATTATGCCTATCACTGCTTGATTGAAATGAACTAAAATGAATTCATTTCTTCAATTTTGTAGGTTTCATTTTTTTTCCTTATAAGTAATGATTTATGAACGTAATAGATGAATTCCGAGCAAAAAAGTCGCGGAACAATGATGAATTGATTGAAAACAATAATCAATCAGGTCTAGTTTACCGAAACTATTAATAAAGATGTGTTTTCTCATCCCCGAACATATACAGAGGGTTCGACCTCAGGACTATTTTCGAGTCCAAACCCCAACTTTTCCTGTCAACTAAAGTGACTTCCGGCTCATAAAGGACGAAACCGATAGTTATTGTGAGATTCTCAAACAAGTTGGGCTTGAAGTTGAGGATACTTTTACGCCGAAGCCATACTACCTCCGTAGTGAGGCCGCCGAAAGCTCCAGCGCTCAGATAATTCATCTGATCACCATTCAGCAAGAAAAAATTCAGACTTAAACCTTGAAATGCATTCGGTTCTATCTGGATTCTTTCACTGAAGCCTAGAGACAAGTAAGACAGTTCGTGAGTGGCTTGTAGTAAACTCCCAGTAACAGCAGTTATCGCATTTCCGAAGAGTTCCAACTTCTCCAAATGTTTGAGTTCATCGAAAATACCGGACGGCAGAGTTGTCAGGCGATTATCCCTCAAATCAAGCAAGCGGAGATTCTTCAAACCGGAAAAAATGCCAGGTTCCACGTGCCTCAGCGAGTTGTTGACTACCCACAGTTTCTCCAGTTCATCGAGACCACCGAATACACCACGACGTAGGATCTCCAAGCTATTGTCTGACAGATCTAAAATCTTCAGATGACGAAATCTCGCGAAAGTTTGTGGCTCAACAGATTCCAGTCCATTAAACTCTAGGAGAAGTTCTTTGAGGACTTCAGTATTCATCCTCGCAAAAGAAGCAGGAGATAGAGTTCTAATGTGTTGATACCTCACTATTAAGTACTCAAGTTTCGGGCTGTCCACACAAAATTCTTGAGGAATTTCTGTCAATCCATTGTTATCAAAAAGCAGAGATTTGAGGGAACCAAATGTTTTCGAAGAATTGAATGCATTTCGGAAATGCACACGTACCATGAAGATAGATTCGATGGAAGGTAGGCCGTTGAATGATTCTGGGGTGATAGCGATGTGATTCGGCTTGCACTTCCATCTGCGATCTAAATTAACCCTACGAGGACGTATGATGGCTATGGTGACTAATGTTAGGTTGTCGAAAGCATTAGGTCCAATTGAAGAAATGTTGTTTCCGTACAGAAGGAGGTCGCGGTCCCCTCGACCCTCTCGAGCTTTGACAGACAATGCCCCGGTGGAATCTATGGATATTTTGTAGCCACCCTCATCCCGGAACTTGCGTTTGGCGTAAGCAGACGTTGATACAGTGACAAGGAGGACGATATTCAACAGAAATCGCCACATCTTCGACGGTTGTCTCAAGAGATAACTCTCAATAATATGAGACACTAAGATACTCACTTAACTCCCTTGCAAGTTAAAAAGCTAAACAAGGCTATATGTGGAACGAGATGAATACCAAAATCAACCTTTAACAATATGGGAGGAGTGAGAATGTGATTTAGTTCAAAATGACCAGGATGCCTCGGTATTCGCGATTGATATACGGTTGGTGCTATCAGCTGTTTCAATAATCAACCAAGCGTCTAATTTATTCTATCATTTGACGATAACACAATGGCACGTGTGTCTATTGTGATGTCCAAAATTTAATTTTCTTGATTTTGATAGCTGTTACATTGAATGATTTCAATCGGAATGTTGACCCCGATTAAAAGAACTCAACGACAAATCGCCAAGCAGCGAAACAAAGCCAACTTGACTTCCTTCAGAAGCGTCCAGAAGACAGCTTCAGAAGGGAAGCGCTGTTTCTCCGGATGGTGTGTTTTGGTATGCATGAAAGTAGAACCTCAATAAACAGTAGAGGCTTCGTATAAGATACCTCGCGCTCCGAGCGCTCGAGGCCTACCCCCACTCTCGGCACTTTTGTCGCTTCCCGAATGTTTATGTTCTATGGGATTCTTATAAGATACCTATGGCTCCGGTCATTTTTCAACGGGAAGAGAGTAGTTATAACAATCAAACGGTGTTAAAATTATCTCAATAGAATAAGCCCTCTATAAATCCACTTAATTGACTTACTTTTGATAATTTGCATTTCAGCTACCTAGACGTGATTATTCCTGAGGCCATCAACAATCCCCCAACATCAGCTGCCATTCTATCACGCGGGGTTATGTTTAGAGAGAAAGAGAAACGCGGGCGATAGAAATTCAAAACATTAAACACATAAATTGATTAGTTATCGATATTCATTCAGTAAAAATGAAAATTTCATTAAATTCGGGCGCAACGAGCGAGGTATCTTATTTGAAACCCGCTGATCCCTATTTTTCTCATCTCTATGGGCGCGCGTAGTGGGGGCATGGGGTTCCCGAAATTCCACTCTCCTACTGTCCCTAAAGGTATATTGTACAAAGCCTCTACTGTAATATGAGTTGAACAGAAAAAGAAAACTCACTGGAGTAGCATTACACATCAAATTAAAAGCTTTGAATGAATTGGAGAATAGATTTCTGGTTGACGTTGTCGTCGAAGAGCTCGGTCTTCATAAAAAACTCAAAGGATGGATTAAAAATGAAAATCTCACGTGGCAAAGTAATCACAACAATCTGCTCTCAGCAACTCGAGTTTTCCATCTTATAAGAAAACAGTTCTTACCATATTTTTAGAAAATTCATCTGAGATAGGTCGATAAATCCCGAATGCGATAAATTTTGTGTAAAATTTTATACTGTATAGTTTCTGCGATATTCAACTCTAAAAAATGGAAATTTTATGAACGCATTTTTTATTTGATTCAAATAATTAATTAACAAATAATTTCTCATTTGATTGAAACAATTATTGTTGCCTTCATCAACAACATATGAGGATTAATAAGCTCACTAACTTATGAGAATACAATAAATTGAGTAATTTAGAATTTTTCCCGGAAATACCTAGAGGCTAACTTTTGGGCGGTATTTTCCTGGGATATATCTTAATGGTGGGAGAACCCCCAACTGAAATCTTAGAGAAGCGAAATTTTAGGGAGTACCTACTATATCCAAATTCGGTATTATCACGTATGAAGAAAATTTCATAGAAAAATCATGCGAATTCGCTAAGAAATTCTATTAGATTTTTATTGAACTTTCCATTGGTGTTTTGAGGATTCCATTGACAAGTGTCTGCCTAATATCCACCGAAATGTAACGAGTTATAAAGAATAAATATGGTTCCTTTTTTCAAAATCTCCATGTAGATATCATTTAGATATGACAAACGAATTATCAGGAAAGGTAAACACAGCTGAACCATCCTGCTTCGGAGGAGAATGACCTCATTTATGAACAGTTTAATAAGCATGAGTATGCCGACATCACCTGGTTAAAGATTAAATTCAAATATAGGATATCATAAATAATTTAGTAATTTTTTTTCTTCATTTGTTTTCTTTTTTATATGGGACTCTACGGATAGAAAAATGTAATAGAAATTATAATTCAATAGCACTTCCTCTAAGAAATTCGATTCAATTTCTATTTGAACTCTATAAGAATTCTCTTGAAGTTTTATTAAATTTATATTGAAAAATTTTATTTGTTTTTGCGCCATTTCTATAGGAGTATTCTAGGTAAGAGATATTTGACTTTTTTTTATTTCAGAAATAAGTCAATAGATTTTCATTTTTGTATTTCCTAATTTCGAACTATTTTGAAATTTCGGAAACTATATGTCAGGAACTTATACATATGTTATGCCAAAATCTTTCAGACAAAATTTCTCCCTTATTTTTGGGCATCTGTCCCTAGGTCTTTGGTGGGGGACACCACTAGTGACACCCTATCGGTGTCCGACATCAGCCGGCCTCTCTTTGCGAGATTGACTAACAGCTCGAACAGATTTGAATAGAATAATATTAAGGTTACTGAGAAAGCGGCACCCAAGGTAATTATTATTATTATTTGTATATTTAACTAATGTGAGATAAAACCACATGGCGCCCACGAAGTTAAAGGAAATAAATTAGCAGTGCTCGAACAATTAAAATTTATTATTAATTATTTAATGGAATTATCGAACTGTTGCGCTTCAAGGCCCAAACAGAATAGAATTATGAGAAGTTAATCATGGTTTTATTGCAACGTTATAAATTGCGCTCGAATAGCAAAAAAAAGACCCTCATATCTAAGAGTTCAAAATTGGACTCCAGCAACGAAATAATAACGAATAACAATAATAATTGCGACACGCAAATTATCGTTGTCCAACATTTTACAAAAATCGGACGTCACAACACAAAGACGCGTCGATTACAAAATAGTATCTTACTTTACAAGTGCATAAAGTGGGAGGATTTGGGCGAGTGGTGTGATGTTTTTAGCGAGTGTCGTCTACGGCGAGAGCTTACGTAAGTCTACGACTCTCGATAAAAAAATCACACACGGGCCTATTCCCCCACTTTATGCACGCATAATGTACACTATTTTTTGACAAAAGCTGTATGAAAAAATCCTCAAATGTAAGCAAAAATGTATCAAATGGGTCTGGTACTTTTGGTCCAAAAACCATTCGTCCAACACCTTTTCGTCCAATGGATTTTGGCCCAAAATCATTTGGTCCAATGACCCAAATCGTCCAAAAAAAATTTCGTCCAAAAACCATTTTGTCCACCAAAATAAACGTCCAAAATGGTAAAAGAGACAGATTGTAACTACTACATTCCAACAAACTACATACAGGATAGCATCAACAGCTATACAGAAATAAGTACGACAACACAAATACCATTTCTCGCTGTAAGATGACAAACAGAGAGGGTAGAACCGATAACCACGATGAGTAAACACAGCTAGACAGTGCTTAGCCGACAGCGGCCCGAATCACAATAAATTCAAATTCCCGTGACAAATAGTAGTAGTTTGAATTAATTCAAATAAAAGTAACTGCCGTGAACAAAACATGTGTAATTGAACAAAAAGAACAATGATGGCGAATGAAAATATAGAATACAGTGGCCTAGTGCCGTCAAACCAAGGCCACGATAAGCTGGTAATCCGCGGCCATTTATATACATTGAGGGACACGAAACAAAGAAAAAATGACCATCAATTATCTAGTGTGACTGCGTTGACATTTCGTTTAAATTTTGTGCATGAATTTCTCGGTAAATTTTCTTTGTTTGTAATGTTCCCCAATTCTTGAAAAAAAAAATTGATGTTGATCGTTCATTTATTGTATCATTGTTGACATTTTCATTAAATTTTGTGCACGTATCATATGTTTTTTCTTCATTTTTCCCGGAATTGGACGAAAAAATTTGTGGACCAAAAGAAAATTAGACCAAAAACACAATACATGAAAAAAAAATTGGACTAAAAGTACCAATGGACGAAATGGGTTTGGACCAATGGAAATTGGACCAAACGTACCGGACCCGTATCAAATATACCCACAAAAGAAAATTTTTTTGAATCAAAAAACCGGATTTATCTGAAAATCATAATTGTTCATTTGAGAATTTTTTTTTTATGAAGATTTTTTTTTAATGAAGATTTAATCATGAAACAATTGATTAATTTCCAAAAAAAATGAAAACGAGAAAAACTGCAAATAAAAACAAAATTTCATTTCCTAAAGTTAGTGGTTAGAAAAGTTTCCTGAAATTAATTTAAATGAAAAAATATAAACTATTTTTTTCAAGAAATATATCGAGTCTAAGTCCATTTCGTCCTCCATTTTCCATTAAATAATTTGGACGTGAAATTGACAAGTATACTGCTTCCCAATGACCAAGCATGCAGCCTGAGTGACCGTTGTGAATGCTGTGACACGAATTATACACCAACACCAATGCACGACGAGTCGTAGACCGATGTTTTTAGACAGAATAGTCGTTAGGAGAAATGCGGTACGTGATTGGTCAGAATCCTCACGAGTAGGCTGGTCTCCGGTATGTGACATGGCGGCACTGGTAAGAGTTCTCAAAACAACGTTAAAAAAGCGGCCTTTTTTTAACAAGTTAAAAAAGTGTGCTTTTTTACATTGCTTTTTTTCACCAGTTAAAAAAGTGGACTTTTTTAAACTACTCTAGAATACACCTCAAAAGACCCACTTTACACACGAAAAGTAGTGAAAAAAAGTGGAGTTTTTCATGCACGTATGTCAAAAAATAGTTTTGAATTGATCCATTAGTCCTGCAGAAATCGTTGGACAAAACGATGTAAATCGTTTTATTCACGTACGTATATAAACACAAACACGCACATTCCGACATGTCTCCAAAAATGATTGAAAATGATGTGAAACGTCGACAAATCATAGAAATTCCAAATTTTATTTTCGGTTATTTTGTCATTACAATAACTCCCTCCCCCGGAATGTTAAAAATCCCAACAAAAAAAGTTATATAGAAAAATGAACATTTATTGGCAATCATCTATATAAACGAATAGAGGGACAGGCATTAATATTAGATTTTGGCAATATTAAAAATAAGGATTGTCTCGTTATATTGTTCAAAGTTTAACTATATTTACCAATTTTAAAATATTATAGAATTTATTAGATTTTTCGATTGATGGTGAATAAAATATTTGATAATACTAAAATGTAATTTTTTTGTTACCAAGCTAATTCTAACTTTAGGTACTTGATTTTCGATTATCCAAATAATCGTCAATCTTCCTATCTAAATTATTGGTTGATAGAATATTTCGAAATTTAATTGTATAAATTGATGGTTACTTTAATATTTAAAAGTTTAATATTTATGTTAAATATTGACAGCTTCACAATTTAGCGGTAATTATTGGTATACAAATAAGTTTTAGGACAGTTCGATTCCGTGTCATAAAAGTAATTCAAAGTTACCGCTTACATATGATATGGTGGGGTTTGTTATAGTATCAAAACATAAGAAAGTCATAAACATAACCTTAAATTCTGTGAATAAAACACGCAGACCGATAAGCTATTTATTAGACACTGCATTCGCTATGAATTCCATCAAGGAAAAACTGTTAGGAAAGCATGTCAATCGATTTGTTGTTCTTGGGGACAACATTGTATCTAAAAGTACATGTGAGTATTGGTATAAGCGATTTAAAGAAGGTGATTTCGATGTTAGTGACCGTGAACGTACCGGGGCCCCTGTAAGGGTGGATGACCAGGAACTGCAAGCGTTGCTGGATGGAAACTCTTACCAGATGGAAAAACAACTTGCAAAACAGCTTGGAGTAACACAACAGACCCTTTCCTATCGCTTTAACGCAATGGGAAAGATTCGAAAAGGAACAAAGTGGGTGCTACACTTTTTGACTCAAGAAAATAAAGATAGCCGACTTAACATATGTCTGAATCTTTACAATAAGCAACATAGAAAGTCTTTTTTGAGGAAAATTGTGACCGGCGATGAAAAGTGGATTTATTTTGATAATCCAAAACGAAAATATCATTGGGTTAACCCTGGCGCGCGGACGACATCGACACCGAAGCGCAACATTCACTGTAAGAAAATCATGCAGTGTATATGATGGGATATGAAAGTCGTACTGCATTATAAACTTTTGAAGTCTGGCGAGACAGATCGCTATCGTCAACAATTAATAAGATTGAAACAAGAAATTGAACAAAAACGTCCATTTACTGGCAAAGGAAAACGTCCAGTAAAATTGCTGCATGACAACGCCAGGCCTCATGTGGGTAAACCGGTCAACGATACGTTAATGGCTCTTGGATGGGAAGTTGTGCCACACCCGGCGTATTCACCAAACTTAGCTCCAACTGATTTTCACTTGTTTCGGAAGATGCAAAACGAATTGACTGATGTGCGATTCAAAACATTTGAAGAAGTGCAAAAATGGGTCGATAATTTCCTCGCTTCGCAAGATGAAACTTTGTTTACGAAAGGCATCGGTGATTTACCTAATAGATGGCTGAAGGTTATTCAAAATGATGGAGATTATTTTGATGAATAAATGTAGTTTACTTTTTCTCGAAAATGAATTTGAAATTCTTTGCAGTGTCCTAAAACTTATTTGTACACCAATTGGTTGATATATATTGATTGATATATATATTGATATATATATTGTGTACAAATAACATATATATATGCTGTACAAATAAGTTTTAGGACTGCCTATCACTGAACGGATATCTATTTAAAAACGCGGGGCATGTTGCATAATTTTCAATAGAATTAACGCAAAAAACAAATAGAATCTTCCAATACAATTCTAATAGAACGCCATTAGAATTCTTATAGAGGTCCAACAGAAATTCAATCGAATTTCTTAGAAAAAAAGCCAGGTTTTTTTTCAATTTTTTCCATGCGTGTCCATATCACCTATTCCACGTCATAAATTCTGGGTTACGCTGGCAAAATGCTGATGGTGGGGATCGAATTTTCCATCCGCGACTGCTATCGAATTCACCTAAGCTTAAATTTAAAGTTCAGAAGAGTATAAACGAAAAACATATCTGACAATGATTTTCCACAAAATAACCCTGGGGAAAAATGAAGGGAAAAAATAAATCCGTCAAAAAAATATCATGAAACTTTATTTCTCACACAATGTTTGTTCTTGAATTTGAGTTGAACATTCAGAAACTATAATGCTTTCGTGATGTAATTTTACAAGACCTGAATATGAAAATTCGTCATTCGAGTGCCTGGATTTGAGCCTACATCTGACATGGAAAATTCTTATACAAGTATATGAAAATTGCAATCTTGTGTACTCTAAACGACTTCCTACACATGTGTAGTGATTTATACTCCGCAAACTATAGGGACGTCTTCTCCAAGCTTCTCCCGAACGACGTAGGGCTGGTCTCTACGAAAAACAGTGTTTCCAGCTACTGTTAAACCTTTTAATGAGTTTACCGTGAAGTTCTTAGGATCATCACAAAAAACCGAGAACACTTTAGTATAAATATTTTTGAAAGATTCGGCTCCCAGAGCATTAAACTTAACACCGTTCACCCGAAGGTTGAATGCGAATAAATGAAAATCATTGAATTCAAATTGCGTGTTTTCACTGAACCCCAAAGTTAGCCTATTGAGATAATGATGTCCGTGAAATAATTGATGAGATACAGTACTTAGGGCATTCCCATAAAGTTTTATCTCCTCCAAACTTATGAGATTGTTGAAAGTGGTATCCGACAAGCTCTCCAAAGCGTTGTCTTCCAAATTAATAATGCGCAGCTTCTGTAAACCAGAAAATGTTCCCGGTGCTATTTCTCTCAATCGGTTGTCGCCCAAATTTAGGGAGGTCAAATTACCGAGGCCAGCGAACGTTCCAGAGCGTAACACCTCCAAGCGATTACTCCTAATGTCCAACTTCTCCAGGCGATAAAATGTCGCAAAAGCTTGTAGTTCAATGAATTTCAAATCATTGAAAGGTAGAATTAATTCCTCAAGACGATCAGTAATATTAGAAAATGAAGAGGAAGATAGAGTATCAATTTGTTGCTTTGTTACTATCAGTTCCTCGAGAAGAGGAATATCAGCACATAACTCTCGAGGAAATTCGGTGAATTGGTTGTTCGTCAGTATCAAGGTGTTGAGGGGATGGAGATTTTTCAATTGAACAGCACCTCGTAAGGTCACACATGTCAGTTTGACTGCAGTAACAGACAACACGCCTTGGAATAATATCGGTGCAACGTCGAGGATGGCCGGCGTGCAGTGGCCAGTACCGATGTTGTAAGTCTCAGACATAATGCCCAAAGTACGTAAACTTACATTTTTGAACGTATCAGGCCCAATTGAGGAATTTTCATTAATTTTTAGAAAAACATCAGTTAGCCGTCGGCCCGTTTGATAGACCGATAATAAACCCGATAGATCCTTGCATTGCCGGATTCCAAAGGATGTTCTGCAAGATGACTCTGCAGTGGCTGAAGATACTGATAATATCACGACAGCCGCGGTGAGTAGGAATTTCCACATCGTTGGACTTTACTTTAAATTTACTATGATAAGAAAACAGTGAGTGTAATCCAACTCTGACTGATTACCGAAGTTCAGTCTTTTTCGGTCTATATATATTTGGCGTTACACCGCCCCTACCCCCCCCCCCTGGATGCCCACTAAAGGTGCACATTTTCTCACTCTCTAAATAAGGAAAAAAAATTGGTATCAAGAATTTCTTACCGTCGGTATCGTCATTTTTGTGTAAAAAGTTGGGCATCAGAAACATATTTTATAAAAAATCTTGGAAAAAATTAATAATTGGGGAATTTTCCTCATCCAAATGTCAGCCAATAGAATTGCACTATTCGACTGTTATTTCATATAATCAACACAGTATTCAGCTGATAATTTTTGATAATTCAACTGGTAATTTTTCATGTTGACTATATTTGTGGAAAACAAAAGATTCCATGGTCAAGTGAACCCCTGGTTGGAACTGTCAGATGGATTTTGTCTCATAGTGCAATTTTTTTGGCCGACATTTGGATGGGAAAATTCCCTCCCCACTCGAGCTTCAAAATTAATCGAGTAATTTCCTCAAGGTTCCCTGCACACAAACTAAGTCGTCAAGTTTTTCAGGAAAAATTTTTTAACCCGAAAAACTTGACTCCTTCGTTTGTTTGCAACGAACCTATCGGGAATTGCTCGATAATTTTGAAGCTCTCGTGGTATTACTTGTAAAAATTCTGATTTTAGAAAAATTTCTATTTTTCCGCTGACAATGTTTTTTCATAATCATTGAAATGTCATCCCCTTTGAAAACTATCAAACTACTCGTCAAGACAATCAAAGAACATGAAGGAAACCTTCAAAATGAGGCGTCACTCCATGCACTGATATCAATTTTAGGAGGCTTATGCACTAAATCGTGTTTTTTTCAAAATTTTCACATAAAAAACCAGTCTATTGAGCGCAATAGATAAAATTTTGTATACAAATTTCGCAATTCTTATTTGAAATTACCAGAAATTTTGTAGTGATTTCGTTTTTCCTGTGGGAACTCAATCAGTAGTAATGCCGCAAGAGCTTAACAATTATCGGGTATTTTCCGATAGTTTTTTTATTTTTTATTATTATTTAAAGTGCAAAATTTTTAATTAAAGTAATTACACTGTCGTTGGACTATTGTAGTTTCAGAAATTGTTCGAATTTTGCATAATTAACCCCTCACATACGGGCTCTATATCCTATACCGACCTGACTTCTCGTCCTAGCGGCCGAGGTCGGTATGTTATACCGACCTAATACACGCGTTTGCCATCTCCTTCCGGCCGTTAGGACAGTTTGAGCGCCGATGGGGCCGTACCTGAGGGGTTAATATCCTGTTTACATTTAGTTTCTGTACATGGTTACTGTTGCAGTTATACTTTTATATTACATTCCTTCCAATAATTACAAATCAATTCAATATATACAAAATCATTAGCTGCTGTGAATTTATCAGTGGTGTATAGGGGAGTATATTTTTTTGCCCTTAACTTGCTAAATAATTTGTCTCGCTGTTGGTCGTATTGAGAACAATCCCAGAGGATGTATTCAAAATCTTGCGACCCTTCTCCGCATGGGCAGCTCAGGTCGTCAATGATGCCCATGCGGAATAAGGACACTCCGAGGTGGTAATGATTCGATCTCACTCGATTGACGCAAACAATGTACTCCCTTGGGAGTTTACAATTTTTGTACCAAGGCCTGGAAGTTCCCTTGTAAAACTTATCAAAATATTGTACGCCCTTCAGTTTTTTTGCTATGGTTTTGTGACGCTTCGGCTATGATGGTATTCTTTGTTTTACAGAGTTCTTCGGTCTTGAAAAAAGAGTCCTAAAATCTGTGTGAGGAACCCTAAAATCTTCTTCTGCTTCTGAGGCGCTTCCAGCCAGTCTGTCAGCCCCCTCATTGCCCTCGATACCTCGATGAGAGGGGATCCACAAAAATGCAATTTTTGTGGGACCCCTCCCGCTTTTGGTAATTTTAATATATTTTTCCCTGATTCCAGAAACATAGATTTGATTTAACCGTTAGTCTACTTGAGTTAATTGCCTGGAGGGCACTGAGGGAATCTGACAGTATGGCATATTCTCGACCTGGGTTGTCTGAAACAATGCTCAGAGCCAACTTTATCGCAATACACTCGGCCGTGAAGACCGACATATGTGGATTAAGAGTCGTCGATATTTCCATATTTAACTCAGGACACAAACACGCTGCTCCGACGTACCCATTTTCAGGGTTCTTACTACCATCTGTGTAAATAGTACAAACGTCTTGGACAAGTTCACACTCAACAAGAGAATTAGGATCTGCATCTTCTTGAGCCGTTCTCCCCAGTTGATCATTGAATTCAATCGGTTTCTTGAAGGCATCAAATGAGTGGGTAAAGATATGATACTTTTCGCCGCTGTATAGTTGAGCCTGTAGTGGGAGTACTTCCATGATAGATTTAATTAACAATTTGTTCCTGGCTCGTTTAGGGAAGATCCTTAGTACAAATAGATCGTGGATTGTTTGATAGACGATCGACGAACGATTTGCTAGCGCCTTGATGAGGAATGTCTTACAGAGGAATTCGGCTCGGTCACGTATTAGCGTGAGCTTCGATTCACTCAAAAGTACATTGGTGGGGGTGTATCGCCTGTACCCAAGGGCTAATCGTATTGCGGTGAATTGAATTTGCTCGAGTTTCTTACACATCAACTCAGTATGGGGGATATAAACAAAGAGGCCTTAATCAATAATCGATCTAACAAAAGTTTTGTAAAGGATGATAACAGTGAGCGGGTCAGACCCCCACCATGTACGCCTGAGGAACTTTATTAGATTGAGGGACTTGAGTGTTTTTTCTTGTACTCTACCGATTTGATATTTAAAATTCAAATTTTCATCAAAGTGAACACCTAAAAACTTCACAACTGGCCTGGGTAATATTTCAATTGAGCCGACTTTAATTGTAATCTTTTCGAACTTATTCGTTGTTTTGGTGAATTGAATCATTGTGGTCTTCTCCGGCGCGAGGTTAAGCCCCAGCTCTTCTAGATTAGCTGAGACTTGCGCAATTGAGTTCTCCAGCGACCTTACATGTGAATTTTTTCCCTCATAGTTACGATATAACGCGATGTCGTCGGCGAAAAGCGAGGCTTTGACCTCAGAGCTTATATTTCTCAGAATATTCCTCGTATATATGGTGTACAATAGAGGAGAGAGTACTCCCCCTTGAGAAACCCCCTTCCTTACTGTCGACACTTCCTCATCAAGGGCGAGTGAGTGAATGAATCTCTCATGTGTTAAAAATCTTATAAATCTTATCGAATTAATTGGACAATGCATCTTAATCAACTCCTCGCATAGAATATCCGGATTAACATTATCAAAAGCCCCTTTTACATCCAGAAAAGGAGCTATGGTGGCATTCTTTTCTTTGAGATTATTTTCAACGTTTATAACCAGATTGCTTAGGTTATCTTGGCAGGATAGACCGGGTCTGAATCCAGTTTGATTATTTAGGATAAAATTTTCAGATTCACACCACCATTGTATCCGGTTCTTAATTAACGTTTCAAATAATTTCGATACACAGGATGTCAATGCTATGGATCTTACGTCTTTGTTATTCGGTTTAGGGGCAAAATGAATAAATGAATGTTTCCATTCATTGGGGAACTCTCCGGTTTGAAACATTTCGTTAAAATTATCTAAGAGGATTAGTTATAATTTGGCACGGAGTTTCTTCAACAAATGATAAGTTATACCATCCAGACGAGGTGAGGAGTTGTCGTTCTTGGACTTGAGGGCGGAGTTGAATTCACAGTAGTCGAATGGATGGTCAAAAATCGTTTCAGGGAATGGAGGTAGAGATAGGGAGGGATTAGAGGAGCAGCCAGGGGGTGCTAATTTTTGCAAGGAATCGAGGGTGGCCTGGGTGATTAGATGGTGGTTTCGAGGTTGATCGGGTTTTATCTTAACCCAGGCATTTTTCAGTACCCTACAAGTTCTCCAGACATGTCTACTGTTTTTTCTCGCATCAATGCTTTCCGCAAATTCTACAAAATTTTGCTTTTTTTTACTGTTATATAATTTTTTTGCGGTTGCCACAGCTGTTCGATAGGCTATCATGTCTGTGAGTGCTCCGGTGAACTGCCATTTTTGAAAGGTAGCCCTCCGAAGCCTTGAACACTCCTCATCCTTGAACACTCCTCATTCCACCAAAAAAAAAAAAAAAATTCTAAGAGAATTAGAATTTAGAGAAAAAAAAATTTCCACTTCACCCAGCCGGGAATCGAACTCGGGTCTCCCAGATACGCACCGGGCACTCTTACCGACTAAGCTACCGGGAACCACAGAAATTCACTCTCAAATTCACCTCAAACACCACCTACCCGGATTTCTGTGGAATCGAGGGGATACATTTTTTTTCTGTGGAGTACATTGGTTTACTGCATCGGTAACTGTCTCAATGAAGGTCGAGTATTTTTCCACCTGGGATTGATTAAGGAATTGTTGGTCTAGGAACTTTTCGAAGGATTCTGATAGGAGCGTGTTCAATTCTTCCCAATTGGTGCTACATGATGTAATTTTTAACGACTTCTTATGATACAAACTACGCTGAGTGTCTAGAAACATGAAGATGGGGTAATGATCGGATCCCCATGTTTTATGTTTAAATTCGACTGACAAATTTTCTCCTAATTCTGGTGTGGTGAGGATTAGGTCAAGGTTCGAGTGTTTATTTCTATAGGAGTCTAGATGGGTGT